CCCAATGGCATTGTGAAAGAAAACTTACCAGAGTGAGCAGCTACGCTCATTAGCAGTGTAGAGAGAAACAAGAGGTGCAGCATGCTGATAGAATACGTTAAGTTATAGTGCCCTTTGTCGGGTCGTGCAAAATATCGTCCTCTAGTCGAATCGTTGTGTGGTCTACCCAGTAGCCGTGTCTAACCAGTTAGACTTTGCAGGAAGAAGGAGCGAAAATCCGAAGCCGAAGTGGAGCCAACTGAGGGAAAGGAAGCAAATGTTGAGTGCACAGAGGGTGGCATGGCTGTATATCAAAGGCACGACAATGGCGAAGAGGACAATAAAGGTACAGCACAATAGAGTTGCTGCCGGCGTTAACGGGGCGGTTACCGCAGTGTCGCTAAGCGCCCACATGGATGATCCGAGAAACGTTGATCATTGAATTACGTAAGTCAATAGCGATCGTCACTTCTGAAAATCCCTTCTTCCCTTGCTTTGATCTCTGCACAACGTGTCAGACAGATGTTCGAAAATGTGAGGCTGACAACTTACGAAGTGCCAGGTGCCTGGAATGGAACCTGCAGACGCCCAGGTTTCCCATCATATTCCATAGCCCTTCCGGTCCAAGCTCCTTCCAGACGCCGCGAATCTCGCCTTCTTCATCCAATCCCCAAATCTGGGAGCATGATTCTGCTACCTCTGTTCCACAGATCTTTGAAAGGGTTCCAGTCCGCGCATTTCCAAGTCTATAGAGGGTAAGTCGTCAGGGACTCAAATGTGATGGGAAGGAAGGTGTGTCGAACCCGGTGCAAAAGACAATCACATCGGCTTTCTCCTCAGAACCGTCTTCGAAAATGACACCGTCTTCCGAGAAGCCAGCGACGCTACCGTTACCACCTCTGACTTTGATTCGACCATCGATGATAGCCCCGCTTCCTCCAAAATCTAGCACACCATTCAGCATGGCCTGTCGGATATACAGCTGGAGACTCACCAAAGTAATACCCGCTCGCTGTGTCCCATACCAGACACATCAGGCCCGTACCTCGGTAGCCCTCGTTGGTCTTGAACCCCTTCTTCTCAAGGCCATTTAACAGTTCCCAGTCTAAACCTTTGCCTTCCTCCTTCAAGCTGAGCATAAACCTTCTGTTTAATCCCGCCATACTCCGCTGACACATCGTGCTCATATTGAGCAAGTCCGATATTTCTATTGGAGGCGCGTTGGGAGAGTAGAGAGGCTCGAGTAGCTTATTGATCGCTTTCCCCGAGATGATGTAGGTGGAGGAGCGTTGATACATTGTCGGCGTGATACCGTGCTTGATATAGTCGACACAGATGTCGTGCGCTTGCAGCGGCCTTCGTCAGCAAAAAGGACAACTGGTATCGACAAGGACATACCGGATGTGCAAGCACCGACTACCAGCACCTTCTTGCCAGCATGATCGGCCCCCGTCTTATGCTGTGAGGAGTGCAGCACTGTGCCCTTAAACTTGTCCCGTCCCGGCAGATGAGGCATATATGGCTCGCCAACGAAGCCACTCGCAAAGACAAGGTGCTTGACGATAAAGGTATGCTTCTCTTCCTGACCACCCTTTGATTTGACATTAACGGTCACCGTCCACTTCTTCGTCCCAGGATCTTGCTTTGCTTGAACGACTTCACTCGAGGTCCAGACATCCAAATCCAGCGCTTTTGCATACGATTCGAGCCAATCAGCGAGCTAGAGTAGTTCGGTTAGACTGCGTCAGCAATACAAAAGGATATGCTGACCCCTTTGGCTGGAGTGTTGACCGGCCAGTCGGAAGGGAAAGGAATATAGGGTAGGTGATCGTACCCTATAAAGACCATGTCACTCAACGCCATAGCTGAAATAACGAAAGACTCACAGACGGGATCGTGCAACTTCAGCGCATCGTACCTCTTTCTCCAGTTATCCCCGACTCTTTCGTTCTTGTCGATGATCACAACTTGGCTGGGGTCCACTCCCAGAGCTTTGAGCCTCGCACCCGTTATCAACCCCGACTGCCCGGCCCCGATAATCAAGACCGTCTTGGTGTGCTCCTTCTCGCCTCCTCTGGGACGCTCCGTCGGCTTGTCTGCAACGGGGTTCTTCTCCACAACACCATGCAAAGACATGAGCGCCGTAAAGATGGTATACGCCTTCCACACAACCTTTGCATCGGCGGAGACGCTCTTCGTCTCGACCTGCGGCACAAGCTTCACCACCCCCTGGCCACCTCCACTCTTGGTATCAAAAGTGAACATCAGCTGAATCCATGCGAGATCGGGAGACGGCCTCTGAATGTGAGGCGGGAGGGCCTGAGCGTGAAAGCCTTCATCACCCCCTCCAGACTCGGCCAAGCGAAAGTTCTTCATCTCGGCGCCGGCCAATCTGTCTGTCAAGAACTTGCGGATGTTCTCCGTACTCTCGAACGAGCGGAAATTCCAAGTGAGGGCAAGCACGTCTCTCCAATAGGCTGATAAGTGTCCAGGGGACGTCTTTTCAGACGCCTCGCCGCTTGAGAGATCGTCTGCGGCAGCGTCACGCATGAAGGTGCTTTCGAATTTGCTCTCGAGAATGAGATCGGAGATGATCCCTTCGATGTTTGGCGGAGACGACGATACATAGTCTGCAAAGGTCTTCAACCATGATTGAGCGATGGAGAGGACATTTTTCGCGTCGAGAGACTCGAGATAGGTGCTTGCGAGTGGTCGAGGGCTTGCATCAGTTGGATTGGCAGGCCCATCAGAGGTGGCGAAGCCGAGTTTTTCAAACGTGGGTAGGTTAGCTTCAGCAGGGTGCACAGAGTTGGGAGCCATTGATGCTGGCAAGATGTGGTGGAGAGATAAGCAATATATCTGTCTTCCATCGCTGTCTGGAGTGACATGTGGATGATCCTAGTCACGTTGGTCGAAGCTTGAAAGGAAGGCAAATGAAAAGTCAAAGGCAAGTCATTATCGGGCATGTGCACATTAAGCTGACATACGAAGGGATTACGATGATAGGTCAAGTGACATTAATCTGTCGGACCGCTGCGAATGAATTCACAAGCCAGGGCGACCTCTACTCGTATCGGACCACAGCTCGAGGCGGCTACGGCACCTGTCCCGCTTCCTAGTCGATAGACATCCCCTCCAGATCTTTCCCAACTTTGAGGAACACACTTGGCGTCAATAGAAATTCGTTGACCCTTTTCAGCGTCGTTCGTGCTGGGTTGGCCGTAGGACGACTCGCGATAATCCACTCCAATCTCGTCTTGAGCGTCTTCTTCGTCAACGGTACATCATCTCCCTCGACTTCTCCGCCTGATGACCCCACAAGGCGGCCGTCTTCAGAGAAGAGCTTCCCTATCGCCATGAGGGCCACGCCGACGCTCAGGTCTTTCCCATTTGGGCAGCAGATGCAGATGTCCCTGCCGTTCTTCAGCCATGCCTTGATGAAAGGGAGAGACAAGGGCAGAATTGTGTCCCGGAAGTAGTCGTAGAACTGGGATTTGTTGGAAGGGGCGTTGAAGATCTGGATGTGGCGCGGCTTCACGGGCGTGTTGGAAGAATCTCCGACATCCATGGAGTCGTCGTCCTGTTGCTCCTCGAGAATCAAGACGTACGCCATAGGCCTCTCGCCTGGGGGTGTGTCTTCCAGCCCAAAGGCATTGTGTGAAGCGGAGAGGGCTTCAACGCTGCCAACCTCTGCCATTGAGCCAATCCAGATCCTGTTTTGAACCTTTGCCACTGGCGTTGGCCTTTTTCTCTTTGTGTTTTTGGGACCGATCCCCTCAGGCACCGCACGCTCTCTCGTATTCACGATACTATCGACAAGTTGAGGGAGTTCTTCTCTGCCTGCCGACAATAAGCGCGATTTATTTGCCCAAAACAGTTCCGGTGTGAGACCCTGACGATGTTTAACGACGTGGAAGCGAGCCAGAAAAACAAAGCTGCTCACCATACCCCATAGTTCGTGGTCATCTCCACTCCCTTGGACGTATGTATACGACCCTCCCGCACGCCTTTCTATCCCATCGCCTACCTGCTTCGACGCTGATAAGCAGATGATAGGGATGAAACCGACTTGGTCTGGCAGGTCAGGAAACCTTGACATTGAAGGGGTTATCCACAATGGCCGCAGAGGACGTGGAAGTCTCGGAAGATCAAACGAAGAGTTCTGAAGAAGAGTGGTCAGCTCTGAATACACCCTCTGAGGACTTACGACCTACTGCCAATGCTTCTGCCCAAGCTTCCAGACGCGCAAGGATCGAATTGTGCTCGTGAGCGCTAACAACTGCTGGTGGCGTGTACAAATCTGTATCCCATCCCGGGCTGGCCAATAGCAACGGATACCTCTTGAGAGTAGCCCTATTGACAACGGCGCACCAAATGGGCACAGTCTTGGACAAGGCATCTGGTACACGCTTTCCAGCACGCGTAGAGTCTACCAGGATAAGTCTAACAGTGTAAGAACACGATAAACCTATCCACTTCGCCGACGTACCCATTTGACTCTACGAGGAAGGCTAGAAGGTGCAGATTGGAGCGACGAAGGTTGAAGCCCCAGTTGCCATAATGACCGTCCGTCGATTTGAAGTAGGCAGGGATGTCAGTCGCCTACGTCGCAGTGGTCAGACATACAATGGCTGGCCATATGACGAACTCGACTAACTGACGATGTCAGGGTCGGTGTACCATGATCCGCATCTCAGATTGGCTGCTGCAGAGTCAATATAAGCCACCACGATATTGCATTGCCGCGACGTACGCAAGATCGGTAGACTTGGGTACGCTGCCCGAACCTGGTGGACGAATTGAACGTCTTCCTCAATGGAGTGAAGACGATTGTAGACATCCAGAGACTCCTTCCGGATGGCAGCCAGGGCGTCCGAAGCCATGCTCTTCTGCATGGTGCTGCACCTAGGTGGTGGTGGTGGTGGTAGAGCAGAAAGGTGCCTAAGACCCGTCAGATCTAATCTCTCCTCGGCAACTGGGCAGCTGCGGATCACAGCCTGTTGAGGGGCTTCCATCTCATCGCCCGCCTAGCTCAATCGGATAGAGCGTCAGACTCTTAAGTCTGGGTGGGGTCCCTCTGATGGAATCTGAAGGCTGCGAGTTCGACCCTCGCGGTGGGCTACTTTCACTTTTTGACCTCAGCAGACCCGTGATTTTGCTGTTTGAAGGGAGAGTACGTACGCTCTCCGTATCGTGTCAGTGCATTGGTGATCGATGGATGGTCTTTCAATCCAGTATAGCTTGAGCCTTGGATTCAAGTATTCTAATCACCAACATTTCATCCTCTACGCGACGGCAGTGGCACCTTTGCATGTCTAAAGCACCACCCACCCCTCAAGCTGCGGTGAGAGAAGCCGCTTCTTCGTTCAAACTGCAAGTCCCAGTGTATCCTCCGCACTGTCCACGGTTGGGGTTGATGCTAAACTGGAAGATACCGGGCTCGAACTGCCCATGCCCGCCCTAGCAGCCGCGGTGTTCAGTACCTCAGCACAGACGAATTTTTGAAGCGACTCACAGAGGGGCAGGTCGTAGCAACGGTACGAAGGGCCTGCTTGCAGCGCGTGAGGCTTGGGCTTGCATCTTCAGGGTCTAATGGGCTCTTCGACCAAGCCGTAAAATCACCTATGGGAGGAGGAGAGATGAGCAGGGAAGAACGATGTACTGCAAAGCAACGTACATTTCGAACCGGCGTTACCGAAGCACTTGGAGACGCTGTCAAACGGGGTGTGCTAGGAAAAAGAGAAGGGGGATCAGCGAGGCTCGCAATGGGTTTGGCAGCCCCAGGGAGTCATCTCACCTTGTGGGCAGCAGCGACCTCACAGAACGCATCGATGAACCTGCTACAGTCGGCAGCAAAATCGCTCTGAGGGAGGCATTGAATGGCGATTTGAGCCAAGGCATTGCCACCGGACATGGCCAAGACGGCAGCAAAGAGGATCTATGCAGGTACTGTTAAATTCTGAACCGAAAGGATAGGGAAGTAGAAGTCGCGTACATTAGAACGAGAAGGCATCTGGGGAGGCTAAAGAGGCACAGAAGGCTGTCTGAAGAAATCTCGTAAAATGATGAGACCTTTTATACTATGAAGAGTAGCCAGGGACCCTTGAAGGCCACCAGCGATCTCACAAAGGTCGAACGGTGTGATCAAGAAATGCATTGGCATTGTGTTCCATGAAAGACGTCAAGTGCAACTTCACCGCTGAAGGCAGAGAAGGTCCAGAGAGCCCATAACGGTCCTGCCAAAGAGAGGTTTTAGAGGTATTCGGAGGCAGAGTTTACCGGAGAAGTCTCCCCAGAGAGCGGGTAAAGACAAAAAGAAGCCATCCGCAGAATAAATATCACCGGATCAGCTTCTTCAGAAGGAGATCAGTAGATTACCGGCTGGGTGAATGTCAACTTTATCAAGAGGAATGCATCCTGAGTTGAGGCATTCGGAGACAGAAGTTGTCCGTATTGTTCTCAGCGAGATCGACCTGGAAAGCCTTTCCAGGTCGTGCGTCACGGGAAATTACGAGAAGTGTGCTACAAGCTGGCACAGGCGTCGGGCTAGTTGATGGATATTAGCCGCAGAATAGACGGCGGTAGCAATCATCGCGGGAAGCTAGCGCAAAATCCGCAGAACTTCATGGAATTACTTCAGCTGGAAGCCACAACGCGCACGGCCAAGGCCTGTAAGCTAGACGACCAGGCGACCTCGGCATATGAAGAGAAGGGAATTGAACAATTGAGGTCGTGTTGAATCACTATTGTACCCACAAGTGGTGGTTGATCGTTTTCCTGAAAGAGGCAAGCCGTCCGCGAGCGAGGACGGCGTGAAACCCAGAGCCCACTTCGTGCCATTCCGTCGGTGATCTTTTACACAGCGTAGATTAAATACAAATTTCGAGTTGGGGTAGCTTGTTTACTTATGTGCATAGGCACGCTCGAGTCTTCGACGCTTATCATTGTCTACGCCCAGCTTGCCAAGGCCTATACCTGTCACTAACCGTAAGACATGACCCTCCGGCTCAGATTCCATGGCAGGATAGAACGCTGGGCTTTAGCGCAGATCTTAGCACACTTCAAGCTGGAGCTTTATAAATTGAAGCTCTTCCAGGGAACCACAGGCCTTCCTCATGATTCCGAACGAAGATAACGAACGGTAGCAATCGCTTCGTCGACTTTTAAAGGCGCACAGATTGATAGGATGCCCCTGGTTCTGAGGGAGATAAATCAGGGGTAATGCGACAAGCTCAAAATTGCGTACGAGGTATCTGCAGCCAAGTTGGCAAAGCACCTGCGCCTAAAACGCGTGACGTCACGCGTTCCTTCGGACACAGGGGCTCCTGGCGCTTAAGTACTGAACCTCTGGTTCTCCTCTCTAAGTTGCCTTGTGATGGATCGGAGGTTAATACACCATTAAATTCAAATACACCTAGACTCAGAATGAAAAAGTAGACCGGGAATCCGAAGCACTCGTCTCCGTGAATAGGTGCCTGTATTTCCGTGGCTGCGGGCCTTCCTGCTCGGGGTCTATGGGTAGTAATAATCGATCATAACACCCTGAAGCAACCGAAACGAGCATTCCTCATGGGTGTTTAGACAATAGCTCGCATCCACTATTCATGCACGCAAGAGGTACACACTCAGGTTCGATCTGAGTCCCTTCAAGCGACCCTCGCGGTGACTATCAATAATTTTGGCCTGTCAAGGTCTCTTTTTCTTCACCGATTGCCTGCAGCTTTTTTCCGCACTTAATGTCTGCCAAAAACATCTGGCGAGTCTACAGCTTCGGTCTTAAGCGTTGGGGTGGGGAAATCATTGCAATCACGGAGTGCGTTACGTTGTGGGCCCCTCAGTTGGCCGTATTCGGTCACGCACCTACCCTTTTCGTCTCTTGGTCAGTGGCTTCCTCTTTCGTCTGCTACTGTACAGTCGTCCTCTGACAGCTCGCTTCCATTTTTCCACGGGCAATTTTCATAGCAGCTTTCACCCTTCAGCCACCAGCAAGACCCAGCTTTGCGCTCAACGATTACGCCCACCATAATCCTGCTCACCAAAGTAATCACAAATGCCTACGAGGCCTTATACCAGTGACGGTGAGATGTTTCGGTGGATTTCTACGAGTTTATGGGGCAGCCACCTGACGTTGCTCTGTAGTGGTCGTCTCACAACATTTTGGGCTGCTGCCCAACGAAATCAAGTCCTTCAAGGTAGTAATGAACCGTCTCCACTCATCCTAGAATGATAACTGATTCATTTGTTTAATCACCGGCAGGAAGTGCTCAAAGAGCTCTTGAAGAAAAAGATGTCCTTCGATAAGTCTCCAGGCGGGCAGGAGGAGAAAATGCGCGAGATTCGCAATGAGCTGGCCAAGAAGTGGTCGCATAGGGTTGACCTTGCCGACGAGAAATCTGCCCGGATCTTGGCAGAATACGCGAGGCGGCATTTCTATCGGGTCAAGAAAAGAGAGGTTCCCATGGATAGCAGTGATGACGACGACACCCCGACTCTCAACCATCGATTTCCAACTTCTCGCGTCAGGGCAACCCGAGGAGCAGCGCGACGAGCGAGCCGCAATCTCACGCCATCGGTGCAGGCGCCTTCCCACAAGGCCAAGGGCTCCCGCGGTCCTAAACTGCTGCCCGTGGTCAAAACCGAGCAGATCACGAACGACGACGCCCTAATGGGCCATGGGAAATCTTTCGAAGCCTCCAGAGAACAGGGGGAGAAAGCCGTCAAGGAGGTACTCCTTCAGGTCGCACCCAGGCTCCCCCTGTGGCTCTTTGACAAGGTTATGAAGTCCGGCCTCAACTCTGTCGCACGACTGCATGATCTGTCTGCCAACAAAGAAAAAGCGATCGCATTTCTGGACGAGATAGATGAGAGGGCACGTAGGGAGAAGAGGGAGGAGCTTTCCCCTTACGATCGTACAGATCTTTTGGATGCGTTCCGTAAGATCCCCATTGACTTGTCCTAAAATCATGTATCGTATCTTGCAGCTGAAGATAATGGTTTGACCGAGAACTTCACAACGAGACACATGATGCCACGGATCCGTCCAGGAGAAGCGGTGGACATCTGGATCGAGCCTTAGAACACCAGCGAAGCCAAGCAGAATTGCCGATTGAAGAAGAAAACGGGAGCGCGAAGCAATGGTCTTGGCGAACAAATCCTACTGGAGCATGGCTGCCGCCCTTTGCAGCGCCTTCCTGCTCGCCGACTCTGGGTATGCTGATAAATCATAGTAGTCTGGGGAAATCGATAGGAGTCTTCAGGTTCAAGCAGTTAGTAGCCATTTGCTATCTAGAGTAAGGAAGAAAGAAACGTACAGCTCTGGTTCGATCTCTGTCACTGTGCTCAGATAGTTGGTAGCGGTGAGAACCACACAGTCGTTGTAGAGCACCCATTCCGGGCGATAGGTCTTGAAGCTACATGCCGGATGTAGCCCGGCGGCCTACACAGCACAAATTCGTATTAGAGTCTCAAACAACGGCCAAGGCGAACCGTACCTGATTGTCTTTCACCGTTAGGTACACCCCCTGCTCATTCTTGTGCGCAACTTGCGCAAAGAAGCCACAAATGAGAGCTTTCTCGACCCGCTCGGATAGACGGTCGGGATCGTTACATGCAACTTCCTTTAGACCATGTCGGTCCATGATACGCTTCAGCTGAGATCGGACATTCTTTGCCTGGGTCAACGCTCGGAAGGAGAGGTAGTTTGTCCACGTCCATTGCTGCGAGTTTCGATCTGAGCGCACAAATAGTAAGCCTTGAGGTGAACGATGATATGGGGTCTGAAAAGCTTACTCTGCAGGAAAAGGTTGTAAACGTTGAGGAGTGTAAGGTGATCTCCTTCACGAACGGACAGTTCGGCTTTCGCTCTATCTGCGTCATATTTTCGATCATGCGGGCGGACGAAGACTGGAGGAACTGTGATGCACCGTCAGCTCAACTCTTGCTGAAGGGCAAAAACGGTCAACGTACCCGAGAGCATGGCAACGATAGTGAGAATCTCGCTGCTACACCCATACTTTGATGACTCGATCAAGGTTTTGGCCATCTGAGGATCGAGAGGGTATTCTGCCATCATGGCACCCAGGGGTGTCAAGTTGCCCCTATCGTCTATTGCCCCTAGGTAG